TCCTTCCTTCCTTCCTTCCTTTGTCTCTCCTCTGCTTCCCCCTCACACAAACAGTAGTACATTTGCTTTTCCACCTAACAATACACCGCAGGTCCTTGAATAACATCTCTTTCGATGTCGTTTTGTTAAAACATCGACCGGATGCCGCAGAAACGGAATCCTCGTTGAGATCACTTCGCCTCCGGTAAAACCGGCTTTGTCGTACGTCATTTGGCCGCAGTTTTAAGAACGTATGGGTGATGTTAAGTGAGGACTTACTGTATCCTGGAAATCCCTCCATGTTGGTAAACTAAAAAACTGTCCTTTTTTTATGGCTACCTATGGATATACCATACTTTATTTGGCCTATAAATGACTTGGATTTTTTATTTTTTATTTTTTTTACTTTTTATATTTAAAGAATTACAGACTCACAGGGGTTTACAAAAATAAGTGCCTAGAGAAGCGCGTGCCACGCGGGCCCCGCCCTACCCACAGGCCCCGCCCCGTACCTTCCACGATGAGGTCGGCTTCGGACTGGCCGCCGTTGGTCATGACCTGGTAGCGGCCGCTGTCCTCCAGGGTCACTTCCGAGAAGATGAGAAGGTGTCGCTTTCCGTCCTTCTTGAAGCGGTACCGCGCCTTGTAGGAATCCTCCCTCGTCATCTCCACGCCATCTTTCAACCTGGGCAGAGGGGACGTGAAGCGGGAAGTGAGGGGCCGGCACAGCCCCGGCATGGATGTCAGGGGGTGAGCGGGAGCCAGGGAGACAGTCCCGAGCAGGGGTCAGGAGTCCAGAGGGGGCGTCACGGAAGCAGAGAGAGATCGAGGTTGGCAGAGGCATCTTGAATGGATGGGTCGCAGGTGGGGGTCGAGAGGAAAAAAAGAGGAGGAGGTCACAGGCCACAGGGAAATGCCGCAAGGTCCTGGTTGGAGGTCACGGGCAGAGGTCAGAGCATAGAGGAAGTTCCTGGGGTCACGGAGAGATGTCAAATATCGTGGCCTCTGTAGACGGAGCTTCTTCCCCTTCCACGGACTCTTCCTCTTCCCACTTCCCTTCCACCTCCTCATCGTTCAAGTCTCAGCTCAACTGTCACCTCCGTCAGGAAGCCCTCCCCGACCTCCCGAGTCCCTTCTTTTTATGAAAAAGCGATTACGGCATCACTTACCGCTCCTCTGAAACACTAGTCAAAATGGAACTTTCATACGTGTCCACGTGATGACCTGACGAATCCCTGTCTCTGCCCCTCACACACATGCACCCCCACAGTTTACCGGATCATAAACTCCACGAGGGCATCTGCCGTGTGGATGTACTTGCTCTCCATTATGTCCCCAGCGTGTAGGAGAGTGACACCACACAACAGGTGCTCGACAAATACTTGATGGATGGGTGAATAGGTGTGCCGGGGTGGATGAAGGATGGGCAGATGGATAAGTGAGTGGACGGGTGGATGGATGGATGGATGGATGGATGGATGGATAGATGGAGGAGTGGGCAGACCACTGAATGGATGATTGCTTGAATGAATGAATAAATGATTTAATGAATCCAAAATAGCAGGAATCAGGAAAAGGACCCCAAAGAGGGTAGAGTGGGTAGAAGCCAGTTCTTCTAGAATTTCTAGAGGTCATAGGTAAAGGTGAGGATTTACAGAGAACGGCTGAAGTCTCCTGGTAACTACTGGGTAAAGGTTCAAAGTCTCCAAGAGAGGCTATAAAGATGGCGGCGGATGCAAAGAAGCCATGGGCACAGGTGTGGAGATCAGGGGTCGGGTCACTCACCACATGACCTGAGCACCGTCCTCCGACACCTCCACTACCATTTCTACCCGGTCGCCCACAAACACCTGCTGGTCCTCAAGAGGTGTCACAATCAGGACTGGAGGTTCTGCAGGACACAGTGGAGAGAGGAGGCCAGGACTTTCAGGACCCCCCTGCACAACCCCAATCCCCAGGCTCAGGCAAAAATTCCAGCCTCACCTTTGACAAAGAGCTCGGTGAAACACTTCTCGTTGGCCACGGCGACTTCATAAGCAGCGTCATCCGCCATCGTGCACTTGTTGATGGTGAGGATTCGCTTCTTACCGACATTCTCAAACACGTACCTGAGGCGAAAACCTCACCTCAACCCAGGGCACGGGAGAACTACATTTCCCAGCCTCCTTTGCAGCTGGGATGGCTGCGCCTCTGAGCGTGAGCCAATAGCATGTGAGTGGATGTGACTAGGTCATGTCTAACTCTGAACTGCTTGCTCTGGACGTCTCTCCTTCCTCCTGCCTGTCCACCAGACACAGGTGTGCCCCTGACCCAGCTTCGATCACGCAGACGACAACACTTCACTCAATGGTACGGCCAAAAATATGGAAACTGGGTCCCCAAAATGTCTCTTAAGAGGAGAGCTGGCCCAACCTGCCTCGGTCAGCTAGAAATACAGCTTCTCAGTAACTTAATGCATGCTAGGGACTCTGTTTCAGCAACTTGACCTGTACTTTAACTAACAGAACTTTTTACCTCATCCAATATGCTCATGATGGCAAACTCAGAAAGCACAGCCAAGGACAACATAATTTAAAAAGAACCCATCTGTATAACTGTGCCAACAAGAGGTGACCTCTGCGAACATTTTGGTCTGCGTCTTTCCAACCTTTTCCTCTATACGTAGGTAGATAACATTTTGTGAAGCAGGAACGGGATCTATACTTCACAAAATCATCTCGAACGACTCCCCGAGTGGTTCTATATATTTTACGATGCCTTCTCTAGCGACCGCACAGAACCTGAGCACGGAAAGGTACGTTTCGGTTGTTCCTCACGTTTTGCTAAGTAGCAACAACTTTGGTGAACATCCTCGCAGCTCAATATGCATAACCGTGATGATTCCTCTCGATAAATACCACCCAGAATCGCACCATCTAAAGGCTTTTCTAGATGCTGCCCTTCTGGAGAGTTAGCGATGGCAGCATCGATGGACCGTTTCCTCATGTCTTCTCCAGCACCGGGTTTATCATTTTGCAAATCCTTGGCCCACGTGGAGAGCAGAAAGACCATCGTCCTGACTTGCCTTTTGATTATTGCTGTCTGCAAGGCCGAATGTGTGCTCACGGCATATTGGCCATTGGGGTTTCTTTCTCGACTGAGTAGCTGGTCTCTCTTGCCTTTGTCTCTCTCTCTGCTGAGGCGTTCACGCTTTTCCGAGTGGGTAAGGGGCTGACTTTCCTGGGTTACATGTTACGACCGGCATTTCTGGGCGCTCTCTCTGGGCCCCAGATCCTCCCCACTCGGAGACGACCCCACATACGTACTTGCTACTGGGCTTGATCTCCTGTCCATTCTTGAACCACTTGAGGGGCAGGTCTGGGTCACTGATCTCCACCGTCAGCTTGATCTTATTGCCCTTGTCCACCTGGTAGGCTGGATCCAGCTTCTTCGTGAAGGCTGGAGACGGAGAAATAGAGGGGTGATGGAGCTCGGAGGTTCTCACCGCCCTGGTCATCCCAAGAGCTGGCAAGTTTCCCTCCCTAGACCATGAGCTTTCCAAGGTCAAGGTCAAGAAGCCTCCTATGAACCTGGAGGGCCTGTAGAACATGACTCTGTTACTCTTCAAATTGGGACCTCCGAAAGATAGGTCCAGGGTCCAAACAGCGGATACCCATGATGCCGGGGCTCCTACAGACCGGCACTGACCTTCACTCTTCTTGACCTCGACCTTGGCCTTCTTGAGGCGCTTCAGCATGCCCCGGAGGTCGGTGATGCCGTACTGGAAGGCGATCCTCTCATACTCGCTCTTCTTCGCGCCTTTCAGGAGCTCCCAGATCTCAGGGGGGATGCCTAGGTCGTCATCATCCTTCTTCTTTTTCTTCTCCTGCTCGACCACCTCCCTGAGAGTGCGGGGGGCAGGCTGGGCCACCACGGGGCCTCCCTCTGCCACGTCCGCCCACTTGCTATGTGACCCGCCTGAGTCACTGGCTCTCTGGGCCTGTCATCCTTTATTATCTCCCTCCTGAACCATCGCCCCAGCTCCTCCCTGGCCTCCTGGCTCCGTCCAGTCTCGCCCCTCCAGGCTACTCCCCACATGGCCCTGCAGGGGTACTTCTGACCCCCGCATCGGATGCCATCCCTTCCTCGTTCAGAACTGGGTGGCTGCGTGCAATGGCAGGTGGGTAACGGACAGGTGGCAAGGTGCTGGAGAGGTGGATGGATTTGTGGGTAGACAGATGGATTAGTCGATAACTAAAGAGGTAGCTGGCTGGCTGGATGCATGAGGCCGGTGCGTGGGTGGCCGGGTGGGCGGATGGGTGGACGCATGGATGGATGGATGTTTGGTTGGGTGAACAAGTGAATGAGAGGGTGAGCTGGAGCCTGAGTGGACGGGAAAGAGGACGAAGGGTTAGAGGCGGGCGGACGGCTGTGTGGGTGTGGGCGGATGGGCGGGGCCGGCGGTGGGGTGGGCGGGGAGTGGGTAG